TCTGGCAGACGAGCATCTGGATCCCCCCCTCTAAGAACAGAAATCTCCTCCCGAACCTATCCACCGTGAAGATGGAGACGAACGTGGCAAGCACATTAACGAGGCCTGTGACGACTGCCGACATGAGGGAGGCATCGTCCCCGAAGCCGAGGGTCTTGAAGAGCACGGGGGCGTAGAACATAATCACATTGATCCCTGTGAACTGCTGGAAAAATGGGATGAGGGAGGTGATCACGAGGTGGGGACGGTACTTCTTCTCGAGGAGCGTCTTCAGAGGGTGGTCGACCTGCTGTGAGGCCTGGCTTGCCTCCACAAGGTCGGAAAACTCGTCATCCACGTTGGGAGTGCCCCGAATCTTCTCGAGCATCTTGCGGGCGTTCTCCCTCTGGCCCCTCTCGATCAGGGAGTTGGGGGTGTCGGGGAGGAAGACGGAGCCGACAGTCATGATGAGAGCGGGCGCTGCAGCCAGTGCGAGAGACACCCGCCACCCGTTCTCCTTCATATTGGCTGTCCCGTAGTTGACGAGGTTGGCCGCAAAGATGCCGATGGTGATGGCCATCTGGAAGCCAATGTTGAGAGCTCCTCTGAGTTTGGGGGGAGCCATCTCGGATAGATATACGGGGACGGACTGGTTGGCATACCCGACCCCAACACCCAGAAGAAGGCGGCCTATGATCAGCATCTCCACGTTCACGGCTGCACCGTTGAGGACCGCGCCCACCAGGAAAACGAGACCCCCAGTGGTCATCGAGATTTTGCGGCCAAACTTACGGGTGGTGGCCGAAGCAAGGAAGGAGGCCACAAGGGCTGCCAGGTAGAGGGACGAGGTGAAGAGGGTGAGCAGATGGTTCTCAAACTTGCAGTATTGGCTATCATGTCCGGACGCGTCTTTTTCTTTGGCATAAACCGATGGGAAGAACTTCTCTAGGAATTCATCCATCGACGTCACTCCACCTGAGATACCGATGTCATACCCGAAAATGAGCCCACCCGTTGCAGCCACCACACAAGTGATGACAACGAACGCGGTCACACGACCCTCGTACTCTTTGCTGACGCCGTTATCAACGATACCTCCTACAGCCATCTTCTTCTTATTATTATTATTTATATATGTATATATGATGTATTGTATTACTCACTATGACTATGTGGGAGCCGTGAATAAATGCACAAAATAATCTAGCAAAGCAAAAAAAACAAAACAATAAGATTAATGTTTTTTTTTTTCTATACAGATTACAGACAATCCTGCCTGTAATTTTTTTCTCTTTTCCTTTGCAGATTATTATTTTACAAAAGATATCCACGACCCCTGCTCTGCTTTTACACAACATTCCCCACAGGGTATTTATAGACCAGAGTAATTAATACAAGCGTGTGAAAGTGAAACACTAATGGCTGGCTTGCCACAAATTAATCTTAAGGAATGGAGATGCATGTTTTTCTCGCTCACGTGATGATGAATTATCACTCACATGCTTTCAATATTCTTTCCTACTCAAGTCTACCTGTAATTTACTTCATACGATCCTTTGTATCTCCGCGAAAATAGAATGGACTGCGACTCTTGCCTGCTAGTGAAATACTCTGGACCAATAATTCACCATTTAAGTTGGAAAATATCTATCTAATCTCCCCTATCCTCCTGTATATTAATTCAAAACGTATTGAGCCTAGGTGGCAAATTTTCACGTTTCGGATATTGACATGGCAAAAATCTATGCTTCGTGATGTTGTTTTTATATTGTTTTTGCTCTGGAGTTAGGTTTGGTATTAGACATAAATAACTTTACACGTATATTCATTAACTCAACACCTATGTTATACATGGGCATTACTACTATCCTATATTATTAGGAAATGAGAATAAACAAAATGTTAACTTATCAATAAAGAAGATGCATATTGTTTCAATAATATTGAATTGCATTAAAATATATTCTTGAATATTATGTAGAACAAATAAAAAAAGTAGAAGTATGATCCTTAATTTCATAACACACAGTGTTAATTATAAAGTATTATAATATAAATATGATATAATTCAAATTGAAAATTATTTTTGTATTACTAATTACATAACTACGTGTCATAATAAACAAAGTTGATATAACAAAATTATATATAATTCACATGAAATAAATAATATGAAAAAAAAACTACTCAAATTAACTTTTTCAAAACAGTAGAGTATCAATTGGGACAGATGAGGAAAAAAATAATAAAGAAAATATATGATATAACATGAAATGAAACAAAATATGTATTCTGCAGGTGAGTTTATAGGCATAATAGCAATTATTAAAATATAAAAAAGCATTTCATTAAACTATTTTTATTATTTTTATTCATTTTAGATTCAATTTCTAGAATTTAAATATTTGAACGCAATAATGAATTTATTAGTAAATATAATAATGTTACCTTATATCAAATTTTATTTTTATTATACTAAGAATCTATAACTTATGTACTGCATAGTTTGGTTAAAAGACTAGTACGTGGCCCGTGCGATGAACGGAAACATTATTACGATTGTATTATAAATTAGATATATAAATAATATTAATTTTTTTTCGAAACGGTAGAAGTAATATTAATCATGATTTATCAATTGTTTTTAAAATTTCAAACAATCCGACCAGATGCATCAGGAATCCGTTTATCGACCAATACGCTTGAATAAAATGTTTTCTAGAGAATCAGTCAACACTGGTTGTCAGACTGATAATTAATTTTATTATAGATAAAAATACATATTTAAATAAAATATTACCATATGTAAATTTGAGTGCATGATACACGCTAGTGCTCCGATGCATCTCTCCGCCTGAGTTTGAATAAATATATTTTCGAACCTTCTCTTTAAAATTCAAAATGGATGTTCCTGCGCGAATCTCAACATTCATTTGTTCAAATTGTACATATTGATTGTTTTAAACTAAAAATAAAAAATTTAAAAATTGGGAGAATATCTACATTAATATTATGTCGAAGATCGTTACTCTCAATAGCTACATAGAAGTTTATAGAACATAAAAACACGGGATATTCGTGGCGTGTACGTGTCGGATGAACCAAATCCTCAATCAATTTGATTTTTCCATTCGAAAGGTACTCGCACATGTTCTGTTGTACCCCATAAACTATTTATCATTTAGTTGAAATTTTTAAATTGTTCAAATATTTAATAATTATTTTTAATAAAATTATTATAAAAAGTACTATATATATTTTTTTTCGGAACGATAGAAATGATATATAAAAGGCACAAAAGTGCAAGAGTACAACCACCAGCTGAATACACACCCAGCCACCAGCTGAATAAAAATGGGCGGACAAGTCATAAGACCTGCCTAGAACCGACCCTACCAGGGTAATACTCTAACAACCAAAAAACACAACCACTAAAAAAGACCCCAACAGGGTAAAAAATACGACACTAACACGGCCCCAACAGGGTAATGCTCGAGTGTGGGATCCCAACAGGATAATAAGATCACACTCGAGTGAACCGGGGCCAACGGCCCAAACCTAAAAAACATCATCAACAACAACATACAACTAGCACAAAAACACAACAACGACAACACACCTACAAGAAACGAAATAAACAGAAATAAAACAAACGGAGCCCTTCCTCGATGCACGACCTAGCCCAACCAGCAGTGAAGCGATCGACACAAGATGGATTCGAGGTCCAGGAGCCGCTACCGAAACTGCAGAAGGCCTATACAATAGGTTAACCTGAACCCTAAACCGATCCCCGAATCGACCCGTCATTGACCGAGAAGCCACAAACAACCCCCACACCGGTGCCACCCGAGCAAATCTAACACCACTAGACGAGTCGGATAGCATCAAACCCCGGCCGTCTAACACCACTAGCCGAACCGAGAGGGTGGGCGAGGCTCAAGCCTCCGACCCCAACCACCGCAACGTGAACCGCCACAGCCATCGGGGTCCCTCCCCACCCAATGACGCTCGCACCATCTGACCCCGCCACTACAACATAAATGACTTTAGATAGCACCATCAAATGTAACACTTTACAAATAGGTAATACTTTTGGTAGTTTTTGGTAACACGTATATGATACCTATATGTAAAGTGTTACATTTGATGCTGCTACCTAAAGCCATTTATGTTGTAGTGCGCCACAGCAAGCAGACAACCAGGGATCGGAGCCCCACCGGAAAGACAGAGCTCCGCCAGGAGCGACCAAATCCAAACCGAGCGGGCAGACGCGAGAAAAGGGGACTTACGATCTCCCGACGGGACTTGACTGCATTGGAAGAGAGGAAACCAGACACAGGGCCATCGTCGACCGGAAGAGGCGCATCCGCCATTGAAAGCCCCATCCACTGTCGTGAATCGAAACCCTAATCGCCTCCAAACACGGCGAATCGAAGGAGCGAAACGGCAAGGGGAGGAGGAGGGCGGTCAGGACGACCCCTGGCCGGGCATATGCCGGAGAGAAGGAAGGCCAATCGGCCGGATTAAGAAACAGACCTCAAGAGCGGCGCCGATGTTTTTTGTCGCGAGAGCAAAAGAGGGTAGATTCAACCTATGTAAAGATTTTATTTTAAAGTACTATATATATTAAAATATTAATAAATTAAATTTTGATGCAACCAATAAATCATTGGATAAATAACTTGATTGGTTTGAAAATGACGCTCTTCTAAGAACTTTAGATTTATTTTACATTAATAAAGTTGTAATGCAATATCATTTTGTTCACATAAATATTAATAAAATAATATATAATTTTCTTAAATCATTGAACATGTTGTCATAAAAGCATTCTTAATATGATTACTTGGAGTATGAATTACATTACATTTATTGTAATAAACTACTTGTAATATTAAAAGTTATATTTAGTTAATTAATCAAATTGGTCTGGTCAAACTGACCCCTAACTTGGTCACCTGGGTCAACTTCGGATGTGCCATATTTTGGACTATTTTAAATGCCAACTAATAGTGAGCATTAACCTAATTCAATCACCAGATTGACCAAATATTTTTTTTCTTTAAATATATGTAACTTTATGAATTAAAACAATTATGATTCATGTAGTAAAAGTTTATAATAAATGTTAATAGATTAAGATTATAAATTATATCTAAAGTTAAGTTAATTATTTCTTACTTTATGCATATTTATAATAAAACAAATATATTATTTTTTAAATATTTGAAATTAATCGATACCAACATGAGCTATTGTAAGCCCCGAACTAAATTTATATATTAGCTCGACTTTATTTTCCAGAGATAGTAAAATCATAATTATGTCGTATTTTCTTCAATTAAATAGCATATTTTATTAAGTCTTAAGTCTAAGACATAGAGAAGCGTTCGAATTTTTATTTCGTGAACGAGATGAATTTCTAAGTCTAAATCTCCATCTGAGCTCTATGGTGAGCCAGATAATATTTTTCACGTGGAAGTTCCTTGAACCGAGACCAAGTTAGGCCTGCTTTCTCACCAGGCCTGGTATCCCAATATGCTAACCACCACAGACTAGCGTCCCCAGTCATTTAGAATTGAGCACAAGAGATTCGATGTTGTTCAGGGCATCCCATTGCCTCAAAAATCATTTCAAGACCTCTTAGCCATTCATCCACCACTCGTGGACCTCCTTGCCCATTGAATTTATCGGGCTAAAAACTTCGAAATTGGGTGATTATCTGTGATTGATCAAAAACCTCTTCTACTGGTAACAGAGCTTGAACTCTGTGATTTGTCATCTGAATAACCAATTTACCATTCTATTAAAACTATTGAATTGAAGTGTTTAGGATTTTTATCTTCTCTCTTTTTCATGATGGAATAATCGTACAATTAAATTCGGCTAACCTTCCGTGCGATATTGTAACACCCCTGTTGTTATGTGGGAATTAACAACGAGAATATAATGAAAGTTACGTTAAGTATTTAAGAAGAATTAATTTAGAAAATAAAAGTTGAAAACAAAGTGTTTTGAATGTAATCGTTTGTATATTATCTGTGTTCTCTCCTTCTGGAGCTTCCTCTTTTCTTTTATATTTAGTTACAACATTTATAAGAATTGCAA